CAGCAACCCGGCCCCCGGCTCAAAAAGGTTGCCTACCTCTGTTTTAAAGTTTTGGATGGTTTAATTAATGTATTTTAATTGAAATTGTGCATTGTTGTTTTGTTGTTGTTCCCCATTTGATCCATGGGGAGAGGTGGGCAAGAAAGAAGAAGAAGAAGAAATAGTAGTAGTAGAAGTCATTTTGGCTTCAAGGGAGAGAACTGATTTGCTTTAGGACCATTTATTTGTCTTTTTAGCAGTCCATGGGATCCACAGAACTTTCCTCCAGCACCACATTTCAAATGAGGTGATTCTATTCTTATGAGTTTTCTTCATGGTCTAGCTTTCACAACCATACGTAGAAATCAGAAATATAATGGCACTTAACGAATCCGTTACAGATGTGTTAACTCTGGGTTATATACCTGTAACTGCAATAGTGAATTCCAGCTTGTTGTTGTGTGCCTTCAAGTCATTTCCAACCTATGACAACCCTAAGGTGACCTATCATGAGCTTTCCTGGCAAGATATGTTAAGAGGACATTTTCCATTACCTTCTCCTGAGGCTAAGAGAGTGCAACTTGCCCAAGGTCACCTTGTGGGTTTCATGACCAAGCAGGGAGTCGAACCCAGGTCTCCAGAGTTGTAGTCCAAAACTCAAACCACTATACCATACTGACTCTCTATCTCTAACTAGACTTCTATATCTTGTACGTCCAGACTGTGCTTCTGTTGAATGTAACTGAGGATGAGAGGATGTAAGAATATCAGGGAATTTCCCTGCCCCCATTCCTAATGAGAGATGTGTCTAGGCAAAGAACTGGACCACAGTATTGTTATGGTGGACTTTCTGAACTCTCAGATACCTGTAGATAAGTTATTGTAGACCAACAATGCTGGCGATGGCTTTTGCAGATACAATAATGAGAGTGGTTAAAATTACACCACCATTTAGTATCCCGCAGAGAAACCTTTTTAGAATGGAATGAATTTTGGGCTGTTTTGATTGAAGCAGCTCTTAAGCAGACAGGATGGATTCTATTAAGGAATCAACGTATGTTGGGAGGGAGGCATTCTTCTGCACCTTGGGAAGTTTTGTCGAATTAAACTCCCGAGGCAGGGGAGCTTCAAAGGAAAATGGCCTTGCTGTTTGATCAAAGGGAATTAACAATGAGACTTGCTCTCTTTTCCCAAGAGGAGGGGGAAAAATTCCTCCACTACTTTTAGTTTTATAATTTCCTTCTTTTGTATGACTAGGATGGAGGGGATGGGAGGGAGAGATCCATTTCTGATCTGCGTTAGTAGTGCACCTGTTCTTTCATAACTGCTTTCAAACCTTTTCCATATTTATCTTCTTCTTTTTTTAAAAAAAAAATCTATACACAAAAGGTGTTTTAAACTGTGCATCTATGCATGCATGCATTTACTCACCAAATACATCTTTCCCATTTTCTCTCTAAAGACCATAATTGTCTAACCACATTTTATCCAAAAACACACATTTTATATACATTTGAGTAAAGGTTTTTTTGAACTGCAATGTAACATTTGAAGACATGCAAACTTAGATAAATGACATTCTCATCCACCTATTAATTCAGGAGGCACAGTCTAGCTCTGTTCACTTTGAACAAGTATCACTAGACAGAAGTATGGTAGCTTGCTCCTTTTCATTTTTGGTTCCACTTTGATCTTGGAATGAACATGTTAAAAATACAGGTTGAGTTTCCCTTATCTGGAATTCCAAAATCTGAAATATACCAAAATCCAAAATTGTCAACATGTATGGGTAAGATAGTGATACCTTTGCTTTCTGGTGGTTCCATGTTCACAAACTTTGTTTCATGCACAAAATTATTTTAAAATACAGTTGGTTCTCCATTTTCACGGGGGATCGTTCCAGAAAAGGGAGACTCTCCATGAAAAGGGAGACTTGCCAATATTCAAGCCCTATAGGCTTGAATGGGGCGCATCCCCACAGGCGTCCACAGGTGCACCCCTGCAGGTGCGCACCCCATTGATTTTAATGGAGGTCCCCTCTCCGTGAATATTCAAAACCGCAGACGTCAAGTCTGCAAGAACAGAGGGGTGACTGTACTATAAATAAAATTACATTCAGGTGATGTGTAAACATAAATGAATTCCATGTTTAGACGGATCCCATCTCCAAGGTATCTCATGATGTCTATGCAGATATTCCAAGATCTGAAAAACTAAGAAATCCAAAACACTTCTTGCCCCCAAGCATTTCAGAAAAGGGAAGCTCAATCTGTAATAATTTTTTGTGGGTTTGCCAGGCTCTGGGTCCGTGTTCTAGAGGATTTTATTCCTGACATTTCATCTGCCTCTGTGGCTGGCATCTTGTAAGTTTTCTGGGCTATGAGGCCGTGTTCTAGAAGATTTTATTCCTTGTTTCACCTTCATCTGCAACTGGCATCTTCACATTAGCCAATGGGCTTGAAGTGACATTTGAGATCTGCTCAGAAGCCTATCACCACTGCACATCAAAAGATCCATCCAAAACTTTTCAAAAGCTTTAGTAGGATCCTTCTTCCTGAAGCCCATTGGCTAATGCATTTGCTGTTCCAAGAAACATGCCCTGCTGCTCAAAGTAAATGGCACTAGCAAGTCTGCCACTAAAAATATACAAGCCTCATCAAGTCAAGTCAAGTGTGTCATTTTTGCCAAGTCAAGTCTAAGCCAAGTCATTAAAGTGATCTGATTGACTTAAGTCTACATCACTGGTTGGAATACAACACAAAGATCATCCAGTCCAAACCCATGGTATGCAGGAATGCACCATCAAAATATTTCAGACAGATGGCCATCCAGCCTCTGTTTAAAAACCTCAGAAGAAGAAGACTCCATCACAATCCAAGGGAGCATATTCCACTATTGAACAGCTCTTACTGTCAGGAAGTTCTTTCTAATAGTTAGATGGAATCTCTTTTCCTATAGTTTGAATCCATTGATCTGTGTCCTGGTCTCTGGAGCAGTAGAAAACAAGCTTGCTCCATCTTCAATATGACACACTTTCAAATATTTAAACAGGACTATCATGTCACCAATAGGCTTAGAAGATAGGCTCTGTGCCACAGGATTCCCGTTTGCGCACTAGGGTGCGATGGAACGTTGGGCATCCTGGCTTTATATGGGCAAAGACTAGTGAGGAAAGATGCTGTTAACCAATGAATCTGTATTGATTAGCTCACCCTTAAAAGCTCTTATTAGCCAGGCATAAGGAACAGACTTTGCACGCATGGCCACACATGTCAATGTCAATGCAGCTAGAAAACTCCCCTCTCTGAAAAAGTCAGATTTTTTTTAGTTTAAACGGGGTATGTGTCAGACCTTTTAGATCAAAAGGATGAGAATTTGTGGCATTATGGATTAAAAATCAAAACCCTTCATCCAGGCCAACTCCGTTTGCTTAGTCACCCATGCATAAGTGACTCCCCATCATCTCCCATGGATGTTTTGTTGCATGGTAGGGGTTTTTTTTCATGACTAATTGAATTAGCCATTGATTTGTATAATGTGACCTTCTTGAAAGATGAAGACATAATCAGTTATCCAATGGGGATTTGGATCACTCAAATCCACAAAGTGCACAGCAAGAAACAGCACACAGAATACCCACCATTTCCTGCTTGTTTGTATGGTTCTTCAGTTGAGGAAGGCTGAACAAAAATAAATCACAGAGGGATTTTTGTGTGTGTGTGTGTGTATGTGTGACATTTTCAGAAATGTCAAAAATTGCTTCCTTTTGAAGAGAAACAATTTTGATGTATTTGTTGCAAAGAAGTTAGCTCTGGCTGCTGATACAGTGTTGAAATTATGTTGTTGTTGTTGTTGTTGTTGTTATATTTATTCATATCTTGCTTTCCCCCCACAACTGAGACACAAGGTGACTACAAGATAAAAAAACAATACAATTAAAAACATACAAAAATGGGCATTAAAATACAATTAAACTAGTATAGTATTAAAATACATTACTCATTGAAAGAGTACAATGCAATTTAAGACAGAAGTGCTTTAAAATGGTACATATTAAAACAGTAAAAAATACTAGAACATTAAGCCTTTAAAACAATAAAAATAAAACTATATACAGAGCCTTAAACCTTCAAACCCAGCAGTTTGAAATAAATAGAGCAGTTTGACACCATATGCCTGAAGAACTAGGCTCAAGTCTACAAAAGCTTATGCTACTAACTTCTTTCTTTCAGTTAGTCTCAAAGGTGCTACAACATCCCTTTGCATATAGTTTGGCACTACTTTAATTGTCAGGGCTCAGTGCTATGGAATTCTGGGTTTTACAGTTTTGTGAGATATTTAACCTTTCCTGTCAGCAAGGGTACACAAGGTTAGGACCACACCAGGTGACAACCTAAGAGTTATTAATCAGCAAGAACAAACAAGCTAGGAGAGGCTGCAGCAGTCTGCCTTTGCCTGAACCTATTGGGAAGGGTGAGATTTGGTCCCCCTCCTTTCCTCCCCATGTAAAGTATTTGTGCACTTTGAACTCTGTTCATCTGAAGTAACAGTTGAACTGAATTAAGCTGAGGACAAAAGAGGAGGTGGAGAAGAAATTGGGACATTTTAAACACTCTGTTTCTATACAATGGCAGAGGGGTAACACCACTTCTCAAATATCTGCCATTGTATAGAAACAGAGTGTTAATATCCCTTTAAAACATTGAAGAGATGATGTGACTGGGGTGAGGCTCAGTGGGATGAGAAAGGACAGGCCCCAGTCCATTAAAAATAAAATAAAATTTTAACAAATAAAATTTAAATTTTATTTAGGTGACATTTAATTTTAAATTTTAAATATATTTTTATTTTTTTTTAAATCTTTTAAATTTTTCTTTAGAAACATCACATCTTAAAAAATTGTCACTTTAACCACATGAAGCTTGTATGTACATGTAAATACATATAGGCTGTGTGTATGATATCATAATATAAAGGTATAGTTTTAATTTTGTTAATTGTTTATGCCACAAATTCAATGATATACAGGAATTACGATTTATAAGTAACAGTAGAACAAAAACTATTACTAAGGATTATGTATGGCACGGTGTAGGAGGAGGTCAATGGGTAATGACACCAACCCTAGTGACTCTACCACCTGTCAGAGTGCTCCAGTGCCCCACCAGACTATAAATCTCAGGATGCTATATCATTGATGAAGTTAAAGTGGTGTTAAACTGCTTTATTTCTGCAGATTCAGATTCTCCATCATCTTCACTTGTCCCAAAAAATCATCTTGATGCAGGCAAATCTGATTGGTTGCATCACATTATGACCTCATATTGGTACCTTAAGTGATACCTGATTGGGTGAGATTCATGACAAATGAGAGAGGCCTCTTTGGATGCTGTTTTCTCAACAAAAGATGAAACCCCAGAGATGTTTAATTTTGCTTTAAATTTGTACTGTTTTATTGTTTTTGTTTTTAAGGATCTTTTGTGAGCTGTCTTGGGTCCATTTGGGGGGAAGGGTTGACATATAAATAAAATAAAATAAAAATAATTAATAATACATATTGAGTCTCTCTTATCTGAAATGCTTGGGACCAGGATCCAAGTCTAAACACAGAATTCATTTATGCTTCATATACACCTTACACAAATAGCTTGAAGGTAATTTTGTACAATATTTTTAATAA